TTGGTGTGTAAATTTAAAATTTTATTTTGAAAATATAGGAAAAGAGGCTAAAACTTGTCATAAATTGATAATGCTGAAAAATGAGCAAGTTAACAAACAAAGAGAAAATAAAATGATAACACAAAACCAATAAATAATAATAATAATAATAATAATAATAATAATAATAATAATAATAATAATAATAATGAAACAAATGTATATTGGATAACCCATTTATACCCATATGTAAAAATATAAGATATTCATGGACGTGTACGGGTAAATTTAACTAAAAAATTAAATGGGTATTATTGGGTAATCAATTTATACCCGTATGTAAAAATATAAGATACTCATATCCATCTATTCATGGATAGATATGGGTAAATTTAACTAAATGAATTTGTTTGACACCTATAATGGAAGCTAATTAAATTTATTCCAAAAAGCACAAATTAGGTAAAACGGCAAGTGAAAAAGATCCGACAATTTCATGAAACCGCACAAGGGGTTCGGCAGCCCAATAAATCAAGCGATAACAAAGAAAAAAGCCTAAAAGAAGGCATAATGATTTGTCTTCGGATGATATAGCCGTGAAGGCTACGGAATAAGTTCTAAATGCAATTATGATTTGGCTGCAATAAGGCGTAGATGGATCAGTTGTGGAAATAAAATAAAAAGCTAATTATCACATGATGGACATGTTCAGGACCAAGGTGGCTGTCGACTTTTACGACGTAGACATAAAAACATTTTATTAAGAGGCTGAGAATTTTTAGTTTTGAATTTCACTTGATTCATAAGAAAGTTTTTGTTTCTGTTTGTCTCAGTGGGATCAATTTTGAATTTAGGGCTTTGAATTAGGAGATTAATTTGTGCATTTGAATAAATATAAGGATTAATCATTCATTCATTAACAGTGCATATACTATCACCATTTGATACATGATAATTAATCTAAAGTTGAATTTGAAATATAAATTATACATATGTATCATACATTCAACCGTAATAATGTAGACATTGTTAGTGTATATAAATTTGACTCCTTTTTTTTTTGTGGATAAAAACAAATTTCGTTAACCGAATTACTACAGATCGTCCAACACGATTTGATTTATATCATTGCCTTGATGGTAGGTTAAACATGCACTAGAAATAACAAATACGTACAGTTATCTTCTAGTAAGATAAATCAGAATTCTTACTGGAAAAAATTTCTCATTAGAAACCCCTAGAAAAAAATAGAGAATTCTTATTAAAAAAATTTAGTAGAAACTTTATTAGAAAAATTAAAAAAATAAAATTTATGGCGGTCTATTGAGAAGATGAGAAAAGTTGGTAGAGAGAGAGAGCCTAAAATTGACTCCATATATGATTATTTTTTATAATTGGTGACATGTGAGCGCACATGCCAATTTTTTCTACATTGGAATCGTCTAATTTCACATCGGTATCAATTTCATGCTAAAAAAGTGGTCGGAATTAGTTCAATTTGATTTTATGAGAAATCAACACAATTAATTATTTGAAAAGCGGGGAGCTGAAAAAAAGAACATAAATTAGGAGATATATTTTCGACAACCTTTTCCCGATGAATGTAGTAAACATGTGACCACATGGATGTGTACTTGATTTTGCCTACATGTTCAATTGGGAACGCACTTTTATACTAGGACTAGATGAAAAAGAATGTAGCAACCAACCAATACAATTAGTTAATTGCTAATTTCATTAATTAAACCGCATACGAAAGCTACTTGCCACCTGACCAATTGTAAGTTACATACCCGTCCATATAATCAAATGTTAAGTATTGGATTTCGTGTTGGACTTGTTCATTAATAGCGACACTAATTCAATGCCGTCAGCTTAAACTGCTGCTTGGCTCCAATCACCGGAATCCAGACGTGAGGCTACCTCTACGCACTCAAAAAATGTATGAAAAAATAATTACATAGTAGTAAAAACACAAGAAGATCAGCAAGCAAGCAAGCAAGCAGGAATCATCATCATGATCCATTATGTGTTGTTGGAGAGATTAAAGTACGAAAGTGGCTTGGAATAGGACTGTAATCGAATCGAGCTGTTCACGAGCACGCGTGAGAGAGATTAAAGTACGAAAATAGTCTGGACTTTTTGGAATTGAGAGCTCCTCTCGGCCTCACGTGGTGGCACGGCCGCAGTTATTTGCGCTCATTTGTAGTGGATTTGGTTCTTGATCATCAAAAATAAAATAAAATATTTAGATGTTACCACAGCTAAATAGTCAAATATACTACTGCTAATTGAAAGCATCTCTTGTTTTAATATATTCTTTTCTTGATGGAAAACGGATACAAGATCAAATGGAATACCCACAATAAATTTTTTTTTTTTTTTTTAAAAGAGAAGATCAAGAGGTGAATTTTACCTTTTAAACAGGTTAAGTGAAGAACAAAAAAATATTTTTTATAAATTGTAAGGGACGTTTTAAATATTTTTTTCTATTTAAAATTATACAAATGATTAACGATAAATTACAACGTTGTTATTGACTATCGTTGACGTCCCCTTTCCTGTCATTCATCAGGAAACTGGATGCGCGCTAAACCGTCAACTACCGTGGCACAGTGCAGCCGCTGGTGCTTTCAGAATCGGCCGGCTATAGAGGAAACATAGGAACTGGAGAAGGGAACAATAATGGATCTTGCCGACCAATTTTCGTGGGCCATGCTGTTAACCGTATGGCCTGGAGCTATCGAAACTCCCGTTGTCATGGGCCATTGGATTTCTGAACCATCAGTTCTTCTCCTGGATTAGACATGTTTGTGTTGTCGCTTCAAGCCCAGGCTCGGTCTTTTGGATAACTACTACCAATCTTTTTTTTTTTAAATATAAATTTAAATATCTTCTTTACCGGTGCTCTTTCAATAGAAGGTCTGAGGGCGATGAGGTTAAGGAAAGCTGCTGTACTCATACATCATTGCAGGCGGAAAGGATTCAGGAGTCCTCAGCAAAATTGGCAGTTAGCTTTGGAATGGGAAAACTTCCAAACACCGTGAATTAATTGCAGTCTAAAAATCAAACACCATTAATTGATTTCTTCTTTTTTTTTTTTTTTTTGTAAACAATGATTCTATCCATGTTTTCTAAGCACTCAATTCGTAATAACTAACCCATGGATGAGCATAAGCCTTTATATGGCTGATCCAGCATGCAAAAGCCCGATATGCTTGTAAAAACCAAAAAAATTTGCTGTTGGGTCAAAAAATAGCCCAACTTCACACATTCTCAGAATACTGGAAGTCCAGCACAAGGACCATGGAGTTCTGCGACTGCGTCTAAAACCAACGAAGGAAAAACAAACAAAGCCAACAAAAGAAGAAGAAGATTAGATGAACTGAATATTCTTGCAAAGTATTTTGGTTAGAAAGAAGCCACAAAAGCAAATGATATGGAGGAAGGATGAAATCGCAAAAACTTACATGGTATTAAGTTATGAGTAAATATTTATACACCGACCGTGTATACACTTTCACCGTTTAATTCATGACATGCGTTTGCATAATTATCATCCATTGAAATTCAACTTTTGCATGGTTATCATCCATCTAATGCTGACAGTTCAGTGTAGGAAAGATTAATCCTCAAGTTATTATATGGTACTTAAAGCAGATTGCGACGACATTTGTTTTAGAGGTTAATTTTGTATATACTAACTGTGTATATAAATAACATTAATTTTATTCTCAACAATGTAAAGAACACATTTTTTTTTTTTTAAAAAAAAAAAGGTAATAGTGGAAGCTGTAATGAAGACTAAAAGCTTTAAAATTTTTAACGTGTTGATGAAAATGCCACAGCCTTTGATTACTTTTAGGGTAACCGACACTCTCAACATCCTCCCGATAGTTAGTAGAGTTTCTCATTTAGCCAATCTTAAAATATACGCCAAAGAGTTAACATCTGCAACTGTCAACGAACAAGTAATCCTCAACTACACAAAGATTAATCCACAAGGTCCACCAAAAAACACACTTGTGTAAACAAAAATTGCAATATCAAAAGAAAATTTAAACAAATTAATGGCTGATAATATCAAAAGTGGCGACCAGCATAATTAGCCCTCTAAACAAATAATTTGCTACTAGCACTTCACATGGGATGATGAGATTCTGGAAAACATGCACGAAGGTAAAAGGAATAGATTCACTGGATTGGGATGATTTCCGAAGAAATTAATTATTTGCATCATAAACACAAATTTCAATACATCTTTTTATCTTTCCAATCACTTTTTTATTTCACATACATCACATCACAAAAAGTGTCACAGTAATTGTCTCAAACAAACATTTCAAATAAACTTCTATCGAAACACACTATAGGCCAATAATAAACAAAAACTCTTTTTTGTGACTCTTTTAAATTACAGGCTAGTTGATTTGTCAATTTACTATTATGTCCATATTTAATGTTAAATTATTAATTTATTGTTATGCTCATATTTAATTTACATTTAAGTCCACCTATGCAAATCACGACATTTTAAACAATGAATACAAATAATGAAAATTTTAAAATTAAGTAGGCAGACCATCTTTAGTTACTTATTCTATTAGTAAGCACTCCAAACAACACTAAACTTGGGAGGGAATATGAGGAAAGTACTTAACAAAAATGATTACGTTAACTATACATTTTTTAATCAGTGGAATGGAAATGAGGCTATTATCATTATGGGATAGGAGGGGGTAAGAATTATTATAACACAATAATTTTAAAAAAATTATTTACACATTCACTATTTATTATATCATATAATCTAATAAATAAAAATTATATAATAAAAATGATAGTGGGAATACAAATAATAAAAAAAAAAGTATAGTGTAAATAAATATTTCCCAAATTTTGAAACACTAGTGTCTAATCATTTTGAATCCGGATCTGTGAGACGAGTCGGTCGGACGCCAAATCCATTTTAAATTCGGACACATTCCTCCTCTCTGTTACACTTTAAGACATACTTCGCAAGCATCGACCCCTCCCCCCCGGCCCTTTCCGTTCCCCTTCCCTGCGTCTCCAGTCCCGGTCCTTCCCCCACTGTCACTCCTCTATTTACAGAGAAAGGGAACTATACTCAATAAAATGCGCACTTCTCGCTGTTGGTAGAAAAGGATTGATTTTTACAGTTCCATATGTAGAAAGAGAGACTTAATTGCGGTTAGAAAATCTCTCAGGACCTGGGGCTGGGGCTACAAAAGCTCTAATTTTTCAAATTGGGTTCTGAGATTTTTAGGGTTTTTCTAATTGAGGAGTTTGAGAAGCTGAGATGGCATATATACCCGGGAAAAATCTTCTCTGTAAATAATTTGGAGTTCGGGAATTTTTTTTTCTGCTTGTAAAAAATTGTTTCTGTTGTTGTATTAGTTTTTTTAGGGTTTTGATAATGGATGGTAGGAGAATAACGGCGAGTCCCCGGCCGTGCTCTGGACGGCGAGTGGTGGCCAAGAAGCGCCCTCGCGGAGGGATGGATGGTTTTGTGAACAGCGTTAAGAAGCTTCAAAGGCGGGAGATTTCCTCCCGGCGTGACCGTGCTTTCAGTATGAGTGATGCCCAAGAACGGTTTCGGAACATTCGATTACAGGTCCGGATTTTATTTTGTCCCCTTTATGGGCCTCTTCTTTAAAGTTTTATGGAGATTTAAATTTAGCTTGTGCTGGTATATAATCATCTGCATCATTTTAAGTGCTTCTTGCCCAGGAAAATGTGTGTGAATTTTGTTCTTAGGTTTAATAACTTTGGTACTACTGATGAAGTTGGGGTTTTTATTACTTGATTGATCTTTCTTCCTGGGAATTTTTTGGGATAATCCCGGTGTTGATCTCCCTTAAATTTGCAGTTAACTATGTTCAATGCTTCTGTTCATTATACATTTTATCTGAAATTAATTTTTTTTTAATTTTAGAATTAGCACAAATTGTAGGTCTGATTGAGCTGTAAACTAGTAACGCATGTGAAATTGTTACTGAAACTTGTGGGTTATGGAGTTTGATTGATATTTTGGAGGAGATTGAGGGAAGCCCCAGTGCTGATCTTGTACTTTTGTGCCTTATTTGTTATCTTTAAATTTAGGCGGGCTTTGAAAATCATCTGACTGTTTGAAAGTACTAGATTATATAAACCAAAAAGGAAGTTTTCTGAAAAGAATTGCGTGTTATACGTTACTGGCGATATAGACACAGATAAAGAGATGTGTCAGCTGTCATATTTACCATTCAGGGCTATGATTTTTATTGCCTATCATCAATCGTATTATGATGTTGTTGTATTGGTTGGGTCATTTGTCTGAAGTAAAAGCAAGTTGGTGTTCCTGTGACGTGGAAGCGTTGATTTGATGTCTAGACACTTGTCTACCTAGATTGACAGCTGGAACTTTAGATGCGTATCGGATCGGTTTTCTTTTTATTCAGGGGAGTCATTTCTATTTTGGATTTCTTCATGATTCAATTTAAACTATTAGTACATTCATTTTCCATATATTGGGGTAGTATTTGTCTGTTAATAAATTTTCCTTGTGATGATTAACTTGGTATATATTTTCAACAGGAGGAATATGATACCCATGATCCGAAGGGACAGTGTTCTGTGGTACTTCCGTTTCTTCGGAAACGATCAAAAATAATAGAAATAGTAGCTGCTCGTGATATTGTTTTTGCTCTTGCACAATCTGGTGTTTGTGCAGCATTTAGTCGTGGTATGCATTTGGAATCAAAGATTATTTTGTGAATTGTATTCTTTGCACTGTTTTCTGCACCCTTTTGTTGAAACTTATACAGTTGAATTGATGGGTGCAGAGACTAACGAGAGGATATGCTTTTTGAATGTCAGCCCTGATGAGGTTATAAGAAGCTTGTTTTATAATAAAAACAACGATTCACTTATCACTGTTTCAGTTTATGCTTCAGATAATTTCAGCTCACTCAAGTGCAGAACTACAAGGATTGAGTATGAATTCTATCACTTGCTTGCAAAAGCCTTCTTTTTGTCCTGCAGTGTTTTTCTAACTGATACACACACTCCTACACCTTATATCAGATACATCCGAAGGGGTAAACCAGATGCTGGTTTCCCTCTTTTTGAGTCAGAGTCATTGAAATGGCCCGGTTTTGTGGAATTTGATGATGTTAATGGGAAGGTTCTCACATATTCTGCACAGGATAGGTAGGTGTTGAATACCATCCAGTTGGTTACTTATAATTCATTAGCAAGAGTTGTCAACGGTACTGAAGTTGTTTCGGTCATGATTTCTTAATCAGCATATACAAAGTTTTTGACTTGAAGAACTACACGATGCTGTACTCAATATCAGATAAGAATGTTCAAGAGATTAAAATCAGGTAATTTGTCTAATTCTTGATGTTGCATTGACCAGTAGATTGTTTGCAATTCCCTATGCTGGCACCTGCAAAGGATAACAAGTGGAGTTTTGTGTTACAAATTTTGTGTTTAGTTCTTGGATCAGTTATTTTTATTTGCCTGGATTGGCATGTTATCTGCAGTGCAGATCGTTAGAATGTAATTGATCTTGTTCTTTGTCATGGGATAACAGTCCTGGAATCATGTTATTGATATTTACCAAAGCCTGTGGTCATGTTCCGCTGCAAATTCTGTCAATTGAGGATGGGACTGTTCTCAAATCTTTTAACCATCTCCTTCATCGGAACAAAAAGGTGGATTTCATTGAACAGTTCAATGAAAAGCTTCTTGTCAAGCAGGAAAATGAGAATCTCCAGATTCTCGACGTAAGTGTTTGATACAATCTTGTGATACCTTTTTATCTGTTAGCAGCCAAACTCAGACAACTATCTTTTGTAGGTCCGCAATTCTGAGTTAACTGAAGTTAGCAGAACTGAATTCATGACCCCATCAGCATTCATATTTCTGTATGAAAACCAGTTGTTCTTGACATTCAGAAATCGTACTGTGGCTGTTTGGAATTTCCGTGGTGAGCTGGTTACCTCGTTTGAGGATCATCTGTTGTGGCATCCGGACTGCAACACTAATAATATTTACATCACCAGTGATCAGGACCTAATTATTTCTTATTGCAAAGCTGATTCTGATGATCCATTATCAGAAGGAAATGGTATGTTTTTTGTGGGAATTGGATGATTTTGAATGGTTCTATTAATAAGAATTGAATTTATTGGTTGTGCATGCAAACTGTTTATTGTGTCCAAAAAGTGATGTTTGCCGAGTTACAGTTGCATCTAACATCCATTGATTTCTATATGGTGGCCTGCAGCAGGTTCGATCAATATCAGCAACATTCTGACAGGAAAATGCCTTGCTAAAATAAAAGTAAGCAACAGCTCTCCCCTGGACGACTGCTGTTGCAGTTCTAGTTGTGGTGGGAGAAGTTGCAATTCACAGAAACGGGTCCAAGCTGCTAAAGTAAGGAGCACAGTTGCAGAGGCACTGGAAGACATTACTGCCCTTTTCTACGATGAAGAGCGCAATGAGATTTATACTGGAAATAGGCTTGGCCTGGTCCATGTGTGGTCAAACTAGGGTGATCTGATGTTTGTACCAGGCACCCATGTTTGCTTGGTTCTTCTCCATATGGCCAGTTCATTTTGCACCCCGCATTGCTGGAGTTGGCTGGGACTCTTGTATCATTAGAAGCATTTCAAGTGGTTTAGCTTTCTTTTTATTTTCTTCTGTTTTATGTGACCATTTAGCTCTTTATGTTGTCCCTCAAAAGCGGGGATACTCTATCATGTCATAATTTTCCCGTATTGTGTTCTTGAATTGCTCATTTTGAGCAGGAAACTAGTTTTTGTCCTGTAGATGCAGCTTGAATCTAGGGTTGTCGGAATGATGTATGTGGATATTGAATTGACAAGCAGCTGTTTGTTGATATATGTATTGCATAGTGATCCATTTGGTTTAACCTGAATATGATGCTCTCCAGCTCCACTTTAGCTGCTTCCCTTCACCTCTTGTCACCCAAGGAAATATGACGTGGTGTTAATTGGTATCATCATATTGATGTCTTTGTAGTTGGTTGGGACAAAGCTGCTTCCTCCATTTCTGTAATTGGTCGGATGTGCTACCTACTTAAAACCTAGTAGGGTTAATCCTAATAAACTCATTTGAACCAGCATTTTCCCTATTCTATCACAACATTCCCAATCAAATGCAATTGGGTTGAATTACTCATTTTATGTCTGATTGAGTTACAAGGTTACCCAGTATCTACCATTAATCCTGGCTACTCTTGGTTACAGAGAGTTAGAATTTTAGGATCTTGAAATTTGTCATTAGAAAAATTTAGGAAGTTTACCTGAAGAAGATGATAGCTCCCCATTGCCTAGTTTTTATGTACATTTCTGTTCGACCAAGAAATATTTTTTTTTTATATAACACTGTAATAGAATGAGGCTATATTTGTCATGTGAACTGCACATGACTCAAATAGACATAAAATAGGTTATTCGACCCAATCGCATTTGATTGGGAAAATTGCAAATTTGTAATAGAATAAGAGGTGTATTGATTTAAATATGAGTTCTGGAGAAAATCATTAAGTTCTGGGGGTTTATTGAAATTAACCCTAAAACTTATCCCGCAGCTTTTTTTTTTTTGGGTAGCAATAGAATGGCGGTCTGTCTCGTTCGTTCGACTTTGGTTTTGAAGGAACCATGTGCCTTTTTTTGGTTGCAGACGTTAGCGATGTGAGAATATCCAGATTTTCCTCAGGAATTAGTTCACGATAATCATGAATGTATCTCACTTTCTACTCTGTTTATGAGTCTGAGTCATTGCCACACTATTTCGAAAGCGTATTTTTGCAAAAGGAGATGCGGCTTAAAGCACTTCTCCTTGTGACAAACATATTGGTGAGATTGTCATATTATCAGCATATGCATAAGGGCCTTAATCAAAGAAAACTTGGTGTTATTATTAACAAACAAACAGTCTTGATTTATTCTATTTTTATTAGGACAATGCTTTAGTAACGATAGTTATGGTAAATAGTTTTTACCTAATATAACAGGTTGTTACACTTTTAGCGAGCATTTGATTATTTGTTGAACATATCCACCTAAATAGGATAACACCTAAAAATATGGAAGTAAGTTTTCCATATAAAATAGTAAGTTAACCTTAATAGATTAGTAATTTTTATACCTCAAAAGGTAAATTGGAATAAATATTAAACTTACTTTTTAAATAAATAAATTACTACCTTATATCCCGAACTTACTTTTAGAGAGTAAGTTTAGTTCAATTAACGTAAGTTTTTATGCATAAATAGTAATTCTTACTAATAATATGGTAAATTTGATTAATGATCCAAATTTACTGATTTTTGGAATACATGTACAATTTTACATTAAAAACTTATCTCAAACTAGTATTAGGAAGTTTATTTGAAATAATGATAAGATGTTTTATTAATGATTAAAACTTAGTACCTTAGTTAGTAAGTACTAGTAATATACTCGTATAATAAATGATTATAGGTGTAATTTAAAATTTTTTTGTATTTATATATTTTAAAATACTATGAAAAGTAGTTTCACTTTTCAGATAACCTTGTAAAATGTGTAATAAAATTTTGTCATATTATAAGTTTTTAATCATTTTCAATTTTTGAAAAGTTTGGATAACAATAACAACAAATCTTCCTAATTATATATAGAATGTCACTTGTTTATATATCACAATTTTTATAATTTAACACCTATGAATATAATAAGATGATAAAGTTTTAATAAATTTACATATGGGACACAAGAATTAATAAGAGTTAAAGTCCAAACAAAATGAGACAGAGTATAATAATAAAAATGACAAAATTAGTATAACGGTTAATATAAGAAAATCAGTATGATCTGGACTTTTTTCCTTGGGAGATTATTCATAAAAATAAGATCCAACAATTAAATGAAAACCACTTGCACATATAATCTATTGTATAATTTAAATTAAATTCAGTTCAAGTATAAAACGGTCCTAAAATAATTAGCGCACTATGATACAATGTTATTTTAACAACAAAAATTTTTTCCACTCAAAGTCTCAAATATCCATGACATACATATGAGGGATATTTTACCATATTTGTATCTAACTGTAAGTACAAATTTTGTTGCTGAAAATAAAAGACACGAAAACCTACACAAATGTCAAATTTATTAAATCAAGTAATAAGAGAGTTACAATCTCTAAAAATTATTTTTTATTTTGCTAATTACAATCTCTAAAAATTCTTGAATCAAAGAAATTAATCCCCTAATTCTTCTCTTCGAAAGCACTCCTAATTAAAGCATAATAAAATCAAGATTTTTTTAACTTTTTAATGTAGTAGTTATATTTACTAAAAAATTAGTAAACCATTCCTACAATGCATTGCTTCTCCTAAAAGTACTAATATTTTGTAAATAAATTGACATAATTTTGTAAAAGATTTTATGCATTTTCATTAATATAATCAAGAGAATTTTGCACCTTTAAAATATAAATAGAAAGAAAGGAAAATGGTATGAGTATAAAGGTGACCAAATGCAATATATATGACATCATGTGTTCAGATATGGTTTGTTAAATAATCAGTAATTTAGTCCTGGTCAATATATGATGCATATTGATTTCTTATAAAAAAAAATATAATTTAGCAATTATGCATTAACAGAATTCGTAGTTTGAATGCAATCAATTGAGCACATATTTCCTTTTTTTAATTAGCTATTATTTATTTTATTACTTAGGTTATAAATTTACATGTAAAATAACAACAATAGCGTGCCAATCCTCGGACCAACAGAACTTCAATTGTTGTTAACTAAACTAATTTTACATTGATAAAAATTAGTCTAGAAAATGAAATGTTAATGGCAACAATTGGTAACAAATAGCAATCTTTTAATTTTGGGAAAATAAAAAATAAGTTCCCAAAAGTATTTCACTTTTATATTTAAAAAAATCTCAACTTGTTAATTAAATTCAAAATTATTTTATTATAAAAATTATTCTTCCTCAAATTAACATCAATGATTAGACATGAGATACAAATATGGAAAAAAAGAGATAAAAATATGGTAAAATATCTCTCATACATATGTAATGGATATTGGAGACTTTTGGCAAAAAAAATTTTTGTTGTTAAAATAATATGTATTGTAGTGTGCTAATTATTTTAGGATCATTTTGTACATGAACCAAATTTAATTTAAATTATACAATAGATTATATATGCACGTGATTTTTGTTTAGCGGTTGGATCTTATGTTCGTGAACAATCTCCAGAGAAAAAAAAAATCTAGATTGTACTAATTTTGTTATACTAATTCTGTTATTTTTATTGTTGCATTAATTGTTACACTATTTCTTTCATTTTGTTAGGTCTATATTAATACAAGTTTAATTCTTATTATTTCTTGTGTCCCAGACAATAAATATATTAAAACTTTATCATCTTATTATATTAATAGTTTTTAAATTATAGAAATTACATAGATAAGTGATATTCCATATATAACTAGGAAGATGTGTTGTTATTATTATCCAAACTTTTAAAATTTTCAAAAATTATTCAAAATTATAATACGACAAAATTTTATTATTTTATAAAGTTATGTGAAAGGTCAAAATTTTTTTCACAATATTTTAAAATATATAAATACAAAAAATTTTTAAATTATACATATAATCATGTATTATACAAGTATATTATGAGTACTTACTAACTAAGCTGCTAACTTTTAATCATTAATAAAACATTTTATTGTTATTTCAAATAAACTTCCTAGTATTGGTTTGGCATAAGTTTTTTTTAAGCAAAATAGTACATTTGTGCCATAAATTAGTAAGTTTTAGTCATTAATCAAATTTACTATGTTATAAGTAAGAATTACTATTTAAATATGAAAGCTTACTATTACTTGAACTAAACTTACTCTCTCAAAAGTATGTTTGGGATATAAAATAGTAATTTATTTTTTTAAAAAGTAAGTTTCATATTTATTCCAATTTACCTTTTGAGACACAAAAGTTACTAATTATTACGGTTAACTTACTATTTTAGATAAGAAACTTACTTCCTTATTTTTAGGCATTATTCTATATAGGAGGATAGGTCAAATAGGTAATCAAATGCTCGCTAAAAGTATAATAACCTGTTATATCAAGTAAAAACTGTTTAGTTATCATAACTATAGTTACTACAGCATTTTCCTTTTTTTTATTATTGCCCCTTTCTATTCTCTTTACGCTCTTCCCACCCTTGAATTGTTACTCGAGATTCGAAAGTCCCTCCCAGACGACATAAGTTCTAATCTTACCAACTTATAGGCCTCTAAAAGTAGTTAGTTTGGACCCAAAAGAGTGTGTGAATTGCCTACATTCGAAAAGGGAAATAGTTTTAAGTACTGGTTGAATTTCAATATCAACATTTTTTTTGAGCTATCACTTCCATGTTTCCAATTTCATCATAACGTAATAGAGATGAAAGTCTCTGAATTTTGTTATGCTGTTGCTTGAGGGACGAAATGACCAAAAAAAAAAAAAAAATGGGGACCCATTAATGAAATGTTGCTTCAAGATTTTCCAACGGTTCTTCCCACAATCACCTTCCAAGGCAAGATTGCAGATACCAAGTATAACCCACTTCGACATAATATGTTTTCTTTTGAGTGTCCTTGTAAACATGGCTGCGAAAACGGGCATCGGGACCCCAATCTTCACGGCCTTCTGGCAAACAAAAAGAAAAAAAAATCATGAATTGTCACCTCATTCTATTAACTGTTGCCAACAATTCAGCAACTACCACTAAAGTTTGGCAAATTTTCTCCAAAATTTTTTTATATTTTTCAATTACCTATTTACTTGCATATGTATCAAATTGTTACACTATATTTTTCTATAAAAAATTTAAAAATAGCAAATCCAGACAGTCTATTAGACTCGTGCCGGGGTAACTCGATTGA